ATCGCTTAAAGTATATTACCGACATTAATTATGACTAGTATCTCTACAAAAAAAATTTATTGTTTATTGTGAATTGTGATTGATAAAATCCGGACTATGGGCGGTTATGTCACAAGAAATATTTAATAGAGTTGTCATAATAATACGAATTAAAACAAATATGTTAGCGGAATGAAAAAAGTGTGTATTAAAAAAGGACAAATGTCTTATGTTTAATTATTGTTTTAGGCCCCAAATTATCTGGAGCGGGCCTAGTGGTGAGTTGTTTAACGGGTAGAAAAGACCAAAGGACAGGCTCTTGCTTCAACAAAATATGATTAATTATATTGACACGGCCTATAATTTTTGTTAATTACAGGAGATACCTCCATAGTTTCTGAAAATTATTATAAAATCATAAGAGCATTACTTTTGAGCAACATGGGCCGAGCGAGTGGGCATTCCCAAGATACATGAACTTTCCTCTCTCTCAATATCTCTTTGTTAGGTGGTGGCTCCTTTTGGTCAGTTTATTATTTTTATATTTAAATTTTTCTAACTCCTATTCATTTTGAGATTATAAGTTGTGAACCAAATTTTCATGTCCTTGCAATTATATTTAGACAATAACAAATTAACCATATAATTTTTAATATATCACAAAATAACTCTAATAAGTTCAAAACTTATTTTGGAATAATATCTGTAACATGTCCAAAGTTATTACCATTTGGTTATGATACTGTCCTTATTGATATGATAAAATATATTAGGGTGGACATATTTAAATATACTCAATAAATATTTTAAATTTATATAAATAATATTAATAAAACATAATTTGAGGGTGTGGGCATGTGCCTACCCTAGTCCTCACCTATCTCCGCTCATGGACAGATATATTCAACTGAATTCTGGTAAAGTAGAATAAGTTTGGCCTTGGCCGAACTAAATTTGTTATTTACAAGGTTGGACCTCAGAATGAGCTCTTTTAAACAAAGACCAACTTGTCAACGGATCAAGTTTAGATCAAATTTTGAATGATTCGAATTCAAATCCGTTTTCAAAAGTTTGATTAGAATTTGACCAGATAATTTGACAAATTTTATTTTTGTTGCCAATAATCGAATTCGTTAACAATCCGAAAATCCAATCCGATCCGATATGAATAACTTAATTTCAACAAATTATAACTTCTTTCAATAATTACTTAATTTTTTTAATATCTATATAAAATATATTAATAATTTGGGTTTGATCATAATCGAATTGGATTTATGTATATCAAAATCCGAACTTGTGAAATACAAGATATTGGATTCAAATTATCAATAAAAAATATTAATCTATATCCGACTAATTGAATTCGAATTTGAATTAGAATCCGATCCATTGATAGGCCTAAAATTCTTGCGAAATATGTATTACAATCGTAATACCACATCATTATCGATATATCACTAGCTTACAACAAATTATCACATAGCTGCAATGATTCAGATATAATGCAATAGAGGCCCATTGAACATTATCTTATAACTATCACACAAAATAAATTAATAATGTTACTTTGATAAAATTTACTGATCTAATTCATCATAATTATTGAATTAGTTGTGAATCTCAATAAATAATAATGAAATTCATTGTCAATTCAATAATTATGAATAATTATATTAGTAAATCAGGTCTAAATAATATTACTTGTAACAAATATGTACTTCACATTTAACATGCTAGAAAGAAAGAGGCGGAGTTGAGAATTTATTTTATTGGTATGCGAAAAACTGAATTTTTTTTTCTTTTGGGACATTTATAATTATCTCATTATAATTAATACTTAATCATATATTTTGAACAAAATGGGGCCAAAAGTTGATATAAATACTAGTACAAACAAAATTAACCAAAAAAAAATTATTATGACACTTTTTTTAGTAATACGATTGGTCAAATACTCATTTCCTAACTCATTATTTGCAATATAATGAAGGATTTTTTGCATTTTGCACTTTGAAAAATTTTAAGTTTTTCATTTTGTACCTTTTAAAACTTAAAATGTTCACATAGTATTTTTATTCTATTAAAAGTGTTGTAATACGACCTTTTTGTTGACTTTCGTTATTTGACACTTATAGAAAAAATAACAGAATCTAACAGAAGTATCATATTGCAACACTTTTGATACTTTAAATATGCAATGTAAAAAATTTAATTTTTGATGGTACAAAATAAAAAACTTGAAATTTTTAGGGTACAAAGGAAAAGTGGTCCTATAATGAACACCAAACATATTATGAGGGGTTCACTTTTTCCTTTTTCCTTTTTTTTGGTTTTTATTAGGGCATGAGTTGGGGATGAGTCATGTGTTTCTTTTTTCCACTCGTACATTGGATGATTTCGTTTGAGTTCAATGTCAGAGTGGAGACGTGTCTGGACCGTGCAGGCAATTCCGAATAAGTCAAAGGTTCCCAAAAAAACATTGGTATAGTATAGAAATTGATCTAAAACTGCATATTTTAATTTAATAAATACAATTGATCGAAAGAATGATATAAATATAAAATCAAAAACCAAAAAAAAAAATATACTTGTCACGTTTTATTAGATGAAAAATAAAGATATAATACTAAAAATTATTTTGTGATACCAAAGGTTAGGGCTTCCTTGGTAGGTGGTGCTAGTGAGTATTCAATGATTCTGTGTCATGTGAATGAAACAGGGCATGGGATTTGGTCAAGATAGTTATATCTTTCTATTTTTACCAACCGTCTAATATTCTCCTCAAGACCGACTAAATCTGAACTGGTTATCTACAAAAGATGGTGAATCTTCCTTGAAATTGAGGTATGGATAATACAAGAGAGTTACATTAATCTTGTTGTTACAATTAACTGAGATTCAGTCTTTTATCGTTTCAATTAAAAAATATATATTAATCTTGCTGTTACAATTCACTGAGATTCAGTCTTTTATCGTTTCGATTAAAAAATATATATATATTAAAGGGTGGGAACATGTCTAAAATTTAAATTTAAATATATAATTTTACAATTCAACTACTTACTATCCATTCAAATAAAGATTTTTCCAAGAGTTTAGTAATTCAATTTTATTTTTCTTTGGTTGTTCTTACTTGACCGTGGCTCTATTTCTTAGTAATGCAAATTACAAAAATAAACAAAAATAAAAAGAAATTTTTTTTTTGAGAGATTCACAAATCTCAAGGGGAGGGAGATCGCCAACACTACAAGAAAAAATATTTTTTGATTTAACAATATAAGTTGACGAAAAATCTGATGGTTTATTTTCTGATAGATGTGGTAATGAAGCTTTCACAAGTCTGAAATATAGGAATTTCACATCTAACGCATCAAAACAAGTCATCGAAACGAAAAAAAAAATCTCAAGGCGAAAAATAATAATAACAACGTAATGAATAATCATTTGAAATTTTCTACTTAATTTTAATACCAAGTCCTCGTCAAACTTATGACATGAAAATTCATCATGCAGCCTTCTGCTATAATAAGATGGGATATATTACGGTACGACCTTTCTATTTTTTTTTATATAAAATAAAAAAATAAAAACCCACAAAAATGATAAATTTTCTTTAAAAAGTAATAAGTGACCCAAAAGTCGATAAATTCCAACCAGTTAATAATTTTTATTTTTTTGATTGAAACGGTACAAAATCGATTAATTAGAAATATTCGAGAGACTCTAAGAAATCGGGTGCCTTCTCCTTCCATACATCAACATATCTGATAGAAGAAGTATTTTTAGCCAAACTATGTGCTATCTTGTTATTAGAACACCTTACAGTAGATACCTTGGAGGATCTAAAATTACATAAAATAATCCTAATATTTGCTAGTACAGAATCCAAATGTTCGAAATTATCACCCAGCTAATAATTTAAATACCCAAAAAATTTATAAACAATACAATATTACAAATTATACCCCAATAAGTAAGATACTTACTGCAATGTCTGTACAAATTCAGAAAAATAAAGGGAAAACATTTCTTTTTAATCAAAGCCCATTAAAATAAACCAGCTTGCAACCCAAGTTACAAAATCCACTCCCTCTCAAAGCCCATTTTCTTAGTCATTTGAATAACTGCGAAAAAAAAAACACATACATCACAAACTTACATGTCCGTACAATAAAGATAAGATTTTTTAACAATTCTAATGGCACTTAATTTATTGATCTAAATTGACTAAAAAAATTATTAATTTAATTTGTTGATATAATTTATTATAATTTTTAAATTGACTGTAAGATCCATTAAATATTTATATGTAGTATTAATGCAGTAATTTCATTAAAATCACATTATTATATCAAATTTGTAAGTCAAGATAACTTTATACTTTTCTCTTTTGTTTTTTTTCTTTTGTTAAATAAAGGAAATCAATTCGAAGATGAACACACCCCCTTCTCTCTGTGTCTGTATCTCTCTCTTTCACACACGCAGACAGAGGAACCGACCTTATTTAGCGGTATCGAAGGGGCGATAATAAACCTAAATGGTGGTGACCAACAAGTACATAGTCGGCCATTGCATGTTTTTAGCATCACGTCTCGAATTAAAAATCTAAAACCTTGCTCCTTTGATTATTCGGAAAATTATAATTAGAAGAAAGGTAGTCGCTAACAAGGCACTGTTCTATTGACGGCTATTCAAGTTTGAATTTTGATCTGCTTATGTGTTTGTGTATATATATATATATATATATATGTCTGTTCTTCGACAGTGTAAAAGCTCAAAGGGTTGTCATAATTCGCCGGAAAATCATCTGGGTCGGTCTTGGTTTTGTCATATTTCCGGCTAGGGTTGAGGTGGACACATCTGTTTCATAGAGATGGCTATTCAAGTTTGAACTTCTCCATCTGCTTATACCGGCTTTTGTTTGACAAAAAGATAAGAGGGTCATCGTCAATCATTGAAAAATCACCTGGGTTGGTCCTGCTTGCCATTTCTCTTACCAGCTAGTTTGAGTTGGGTACATGTGCTTTTTAAAAATGGCGGACCCACAAGATACCGGTGAGTTTGGCAGATTGCCGGCCAGAGGTGATAGAGACCCCACCGATGAAGGTGGACAACAATCTCAACAACCAGAAGAACAAATGCAACAACAAGACTTACCCTCGTCAGCCACGGGGGCGACACCGATGTTTTCAGGGTACAACCGATCAATAGAGATGTCAGCGATGGTAACAGCGCTGACCCAAGTGGTTTCCGGAAATAGATCCAGCGAGTTGTCTTATAGGCCTGACCTGAGTGGTGGCTCTGTGAATTATCCTGCCAATTCACCTTCTTACTCTTCTTCAAGCTCTGGTTCTTGGACTGGACAGAAGAGAGGACGTGATCAACAAGAAAGTGTAACTCAATTTTCAGCGCAAGCTCAGAGGGTTCATAGAGGGTTTGGTGAATTCAGAGGTGGAGAGTCATCTTCCATTACAACCGGTTAGTTTTCATTCCTTATATCATTCAACTTTTTACATTATTTGTAATTCTCCCCCAATATTTTTATCACTTGATAATTCAAGATAGAAGATATGCAGTTTTTTTTTTTTTTTGATCTTCTTCTCCCTTCATAGTTTGACTTTTATTTTATAAGATGTACAGAGCTGAACATATTTTGGTTTGCATTTTTTTTGTATATAAATGTATATGTAATTTTGCATGTATTTACCGTGTTATGAATAGTGCATTACCATAATTAATTAGGCTATATAGTTTGTTTGGAGCATTCTCTGTTGGATTAGTTTTGCTCATTTTCACTTTCATTCAATGTCATAAACATGCTTCAAAGTTCAAATGTTTGTAATCTACATCTTTGTACATAGTACCAGAGCAAGCTACAAATGTTGTAGCACCAACCAACCCCAGAACCACAACAGCACAAACTCCACCATTAGATACACCTACTGCACATGAAGAAGCAGGAGGCAGAAGAAAGTACAGAGGAGTGAGGCAAAGGCCATGGGGTAAATGGGCAGCAGAGATAAGGGACCCACACAAAGCAGCAAGGGTTTGGCTAGGTACATTTGATACAGCAGAAGCAGCAGCCAGAGCATATGATGAAGCTGCCCTGAGGTTTAGAGGCAACAGAGCCAAGCTCAACTTCCCTGAAAATGTCAGATTGTTGCCACCAGTCCAAGTTCCTCCACCAACCCAGTTCACCATTTCTAATCCTCCGGCTACCCATTTTCCGGCAACCCCATTGCCACCTCCATTCTTCCAAACTCAACCTTTCCAGAGCCCAGACATTGCCAGAGACTATTGGGAGTACTCACAGTTCCTTCAGAGTGGTGGTGATTTTCATGGACAAGGACAACATCCACCACCTACAAACTTGTTAGATCAAATGTTCTATGCCTCATCATTAGCTGATTTACATTCACATTCATTGGGCTCTTCTTCATCAACCTCATTTCCTTCTTCTTCAGCCACTACAACCTCTACTACATATCCTGTGCTATTCTCCGATCAACAAACTGGTTATTTCCAGCCATCAGCAAGTCAAAGTCAGGGTAGTGGGTCAGATTTTCCGGCACCCTCTTGGACAAGTTCCGGCCACTACCCTCCATCTTCCAGCTGATTCCAATTTTGGATTTACATATTTTTTTTTGTTTTGACAAAAAAAGAATCGTTATACATTTTTTTCTTGTTCTTGGTTTATAATTTTGATGTACTCTGCTCTTGCATGTATTTGTCTCCATTACTAATTTGTTATCAACTTATCATTGTTGTAAAGGAAAATAACAAATTGGTAGGAAAGTTATAGGAAAAAACGAAGCAGCACCTGTTAGTTCAATATCAAAGATTTTGTTTGTCTGTTGTCTTAGTCACATCCAGAACCTGTTAAAAATTGTCTGCTTGTAAACTTTTTTTTTTTTAATTATATAATAGAGTCCCGTATAATTCAAATCTCAAAAGATAAATAAAATAATTTTGACTTTTTACGGTTGACATCTTTTTAAATTTTACTTTAAAATTAATTTGACGGTTAATATTAATACCTCAAATTTAATACGAAAAATAAGCCCTTAAGGGTGTGTTTAGGGTAAATTTTTAAAAGTGTTTATAGGATTTATAACTTTTTTTAATTACTTTAAACAAAAAAAAACATAGAGTTTGGAACCATTCCCCTACCACCCCACCACCACCACCACTTCCACTCCCACCACCACAACGACCCCCACCTCTATTACCTCCACCATTATCATCACTATCATCACCGCCACCACCCCACCGCCACAATTACTCTCATCACCACTATTACCGCTGTCACCGCACCACCACCTCTGCCACAATAACCACAACCACTGTCGACGCTGCCACTACCACCACACTCATCGCCCCACCACCACTGCAATCACCACCGCTGTCGCTACCCTATTACCATTATCACCACCACCGTCTCTGCCACAATAATCACCACCGTCCTACCACTACCACCGTCGTTATCACCACTAATATTGTCACCCCACCACCACCACCACCGTCGCCACCCCCCCGCCACCACCATTTCTACTACCGTTACCCCACCACCATCATCCTTATTACTACACCCCCATCACCACCATTGTTGCCACTCTACCACCACTGTTATCGTCCCACCATCACCCTTACTACCACCATTGTCCCACGACCGTCACCACTACCACCACCGTCGCCATCACTACCCCCACCATTACCCCACAACAACCACCATTGTTGTCCCCGCCACCACCGTTGTCACTATCACCACCCACTACTATCATCATCTCATTCTTATAATTATTACAACTACCACCATCAACTCACTACTATCGTTACCACACACCACCACTACCTATCGTCAATAGTTACTATCACCCACCCTCACCACACCTACCACCACCACCCTTCATTGCCCACCACCCAATCACCCACCCCCACCACTGTCATTCGCTACTACCCATCATACTGTCGCCCAGAAGCATCTGTTGTCGCCCACCACCACAACCCACCACCGCCACTACCACTGTTGTCACCCCACCACTACGACTGGCAACATCCATCACCGTTGCTCATCACCCACCACCACCGCCGTCACCTATGGTTGTCATTACTATCATCATCGTTGTCACTCACAACTATCACCACCACCACTGTTACCTACCACCTCTCAACCCTACTACAACCGGTGTTTAAATTCATTTATTTCTCCTTTATGTTTGTGATTTGATTTTAGATGTGAATGCAAATATATTTATTATTGATCATTTTTTATTATTATGTGCCTTAAAGTACAGATAATAACTAATATTTTTATAAATTATAACGCTTATGTTTGTGTTTGTATGCATGAATTTTTAATTCTATATATTTTGACCATTATTTTAAAATATTTTAAAAATAAATTATCAGATTTTTTTTTTATCTATTTTCATTTTGTTTATAAAATATTTATAAATTATTTTCAAAATATTTTTGTTTTTTAGGAGATCGAAATAATTTATTGAAATAAAATTCTGATCCTTGCTACATTAATGATCTCTCATCCTTTGAAAAAGAAGTAGCTAGTGTCATACTGTTGTTGGGTTTGAGAATGATATGATTTAAACATAAAAAAAGGTGCTCAATGCTTTTTTTCTCTTTTATCATTTCATATAGCTTTTGTATTTTCTAGTGGAAAATTAATCCAACCTTTAATGTCATATGGATTATGTTCACATTGACATGATCATCATATCCCTATCCTTAATGTTGGGATAACATTGAACACCATATTAATAATCATTTTTATTATCTGAACATGCTTACATGCATATGTAATAAATTTTAGCACTAGGGTGGTCCAGTAGAGTATCGGTTAAACTCCTCATCCTGAAGTTAGAGTTTTAAGTCTTGGAATTTATATCAGGGTTCGGTGATTGACCGCTATGTTAGCTAGCTAGGTCGTTCCCGAGAGGAGTAACAGATATAATTAATAACCTCATTATCCTACCAATGAGAGTTTATCGGAATGGTCTCTGACTTCTGTGTGCTCTCCTTTGTCCTCACCTCTTTTTTGACTAACAAATATATGTATAACAAATTTATTCAAACTAAACAATCCACATTTTTATAACCTCGTTGGTGTGCTCATTTAACACATCATCTTCGAATGATTTTAGATAATTTTATATTTATATAAAAAGGTTTTGAATTCATCCAATTGATAATGATTGTGAGACAGTGCCTAATTAATGATTTTTTTTTTTGAATTGGGACTAATAATGATTTCCAATGGACAAAAAATCATTTTTCTTTCAAAACGTGATGGGAAAAAAAGATTGAAATGCCTAATATAATTTCTCGAGTCGATAAAAATGTCTCCCTTCATACTTCTTCCCTACCTACCTATCTGTTTATGAATTTTTTTTTCAATACCATTAATAAAGTTAACAATTATTTATTATTTAAAATATATATATGATGATTATGCAGTTATATTTGTAAAATCAAAGCTGCCCTACAATATAATGTAGTTTGCTATATGGGCTAAAACTATAGTATTAAAAATAATTTTTCAGTATTATACCTCATATTTTTTTA